CCTCGGGGCTCCAGCACGCCTCAGAGTCATTCTTGCCATCATGCTTTCTAGGTCAGCGCCCTTTTCACGACGAGGAGGATCGTGAGACGGTGGCCTAGAAGACGTTTTCTCCTTACTTTGGGAACCTCCAATTAGCTCTTCGCTATTAATTATATCGCAGCCTGTAGACTCCGTCAATTGCCTCAAGGCCTCATCGTGTCTGGCCTTGCTTCGGTATCCGACACAGTCCTGGAGGATCGTAATAGCGTATCCATGTCGCGCAGCGTCCATCGCAGTCGCAAATACACTAATGTTGGTCAACGCACCACAGAGATAGATCTCTGTGATGAATTTCTTACGCATGACCTGCATAAGCTTGCCATCCTTGAAAGCCGAGTAGTAGCTCTTCTGAAATACCAGATCCCGATTGGGATCAATTCCAGAAGCTACTAAAGGAGAAATGTGCAACCCAGGAGAGTTAGCAGCCACTACGCGAGGATTTTTCCCAGGTGGTATAGTAAGGAACGTTTCTTCTACAATTTCCTGCTCTTCATCTTCGTTGTCATCCGCTTCCAGAAAATCGTTGCTATGGCCCGGTTCGCGTCCGTTGGCGGTAGCAATTTTGTTGTGTTGCATGCGAAGTCTCTCCGATGGGCGTGGCCGATTTCTGTCTCCGGATCGTCGGTGTACCAGTTGGATTTGTTCATCCGTTATAACGCTTTCGCCATTCACTTGATTGACTGACCGCGAGGCCTCAAACCAGCTACGCACCCATATGACATCGTTTCCTTGGGCTCTGAAATATGGAAGAAGCTCGAGGATTTTCTCAACTAAATGGGGTGGCTCTTCCACCTCCAGTAGCCCTCCAGTCGAGATGAAATCGTTTTGCAGATCGAGTAGGAGCAACGCTTTTCGAGTTCGCAAAACGGGCAGGCTTTGCTGATTGAATTCAAACATTATTGTAGACTATTTGCCAATCGAATGTCAGTATAAGGCATAGAATATATAGAAAAAGATCCTGGAGAACTCGAAGGTACTCGTGAGGAGGGCTCGTGAAAAAAAGCTTTCAATAAAGCCAATTTCGCCGTGCCATGAGAAATATAAAAGTCAGATCTTCAACATACAATGTTAACCTTATCCTGGTTTTTGTGATATAGCATAGGTCATAGCAGAAATAATATAGCCGCAATTCAGAATAGAGACACAGTGACACGGCATGGTTGTGAGATTCTGTAGGCTACCGGGAGTGTTATGCAACCTCTCGGCCGATACGACAGTTGCAAAAGTCTGATATCTGCTGCGAGGTCATGGTTTTGCAGACGAAGGACAGGCTTGCAAGAAAGGCCGTGGAGGAGGAGCACAGGGGAGGCTGTGAGATGATAGAAATATGGGCCAAGAGGTTGTGAAAAGGCAAGAGCCTGTGTGCCCATGGTTTGTGCGCCAGCGTGGTTTTTGATAAAAGTAGGTAAATTGCCCGATGCAGCCATTTTGCTACCCTTGAAGCCTACAGATCTGTGGGCGGTGAGAGTATGATTGGCGGGCGGAGAAAGACGTTCTTCGGCCTGCATCCGAGGAACTTCGCACTCCCTTGACATTAACATAGCTAATACGCTGTCTGCAGGGAACAACAACGAATCGCTTGTGCGAGAAAGTGTTTCATGGAGCTCGAAGTGTTTTCTCCATGACTCGGATCTTCCGGTACGGACGCCCCAGCCGACGACGGCTATTACCGTAGTGGTGAGATGTTGCGCGGATAGCGGAGTTGGTTGGCACTGCAAGTGCGATGAAATCGAGAGTGGGGGTGAGATCTTGCCTTACCCCACACAATTAACGTTGTACAATGAAAGGTTTACACATTAGTTAGGAAAGGATTTTAAAACTTCCTCTACAGGTGTATCTCCAGAACAAAGGGTTGCTCTATAGCTGGTTGCCTTGTCTTCGAAGCCGTTATCCTCTATAAATTTAATATGGAGGAAGTCATGGGATCCTCGGTTCAAGGCAACTATCGGATAATTGCTAGCCATAGACTTTTTTCAATTGTCCTCCCGTCCGCTTTCATCTGATGTCAGTTTCTTTGGCCGGGATATCCTGTCTGGCAACAAAGACATGCCATGTGGTTGAAGCAAAGACCACCTAATAAGTTCGATACACTGTAATACTATAATTATTGTTAAGCAAGTACAGGATAGAAAATTGGAGGGGCAGGTTTTCGTATTAGTCGAGAAGGCAGGGAGGTCAGAAGAGAACCTTCCCAACTCCCATTTTATTCTCCATGAATATCTATACCTTACGCAAGTCCTCCAATGCAAACCTACTGACCCTGAGCTTGCTTGCCTATGCTATAGCGTGAGTGAGGCTCTTTACAATAAAACACAAACATCAGATATGACTTGCTCTTCGCTATCTTAGCCCCACTTTCACAATAATCAGCCCATTCTGCGAGTGTGAAGGGTACGCGCCTTCCTGCATGTTCTTGATGTGCGTTGCGTTACATTTTGCTGCAAACCGGGGGCCAACCCCCTTGCAACGGTCAAGATATTGCATGCCGTTGGAGGGAGGCTTCGGATGCTTGCGAAAGCTGCGAACCTCTATGGATGAATTCAAAGGCACAACGCACCCGTCGCATTTGCCTGCAGATCATCACAGATCAGTCTGCCATCCGAGAGGGGATCACGCTGATCACCAGGAGGGTATTTCTTTAGAAGGATTCAACATTTTTCTTTTTCTCGCCGAGAAGGCTGAGGGCTTGTGATAGATGCGTTGTCCAGAATCGATACGGATTTCCTCACCTAGCTAGAATATTGAACTCTAAAGCTCCACATTGTGATCACGAACTCGTGCTCCTGCAGAGTTCCATGAATCGAAGCGGGAAAGTTGAAATGATGCATTCCTGAATGCTTTAGTTAATTAATCTTCATCCTCCGACTCCCGCAAAGACTTTCCCGTATTCTGTAAAACTTGGTAAGCTTACTCGCAGACGGGAAACCACGGTAGTTGCTGATATTTAAACTCAAGGTTGACCTTGGAGGTACAGTAAGTGCCGGAGGGCCCTTGGACTTGCACCTGTCAGCTGTTGAAACTGTGTGGAGAGCTTACATTTGAGGTTACACTTCCACGGTTTCAAACGCAGAGGATATGCCAGATGCCACCATTCGCATGTTCCTATTATTACATCTGTTGAATCCTGAGATCGTTGAGTAACAGAGCGTGTAATCCTCGACAGTCGCCATCATCCAGTCTTTCAGTCCCCGTCCGGAAGCAAAACGAAACATCTTGTGTGAGCAGCTGCTGCGTTGAAGGGATGTTTGCAATCTTGAGATTTGTTGTTGGACCTTCGCAAGCCTCACCACGGCTCACATAATCGCGGGGCTTCTCTACTTCTGACACCGAGCCTCGGCTCAAAGCTGTCAATGCAGAGCTTACCCTGGATATACTAGAAGCATAATGGCATCTCAACGACCACACCTACAGTCACACTGGTACAGCTCTTGTTATTGATATCTTCCACTTCTTGATCGACAACATCCAAGGTTTGCCTTCTACGAATCCCTCTGAGCTCCCGGAGCTCCACGATCCGCAATGGCGACCTACAAACACTTCATGGTTGACACGCCTGCTCCACATGTTGCACATGTGCAGATCAATCGACCGAAGAAGCTCAATGCTTTCTTCGAGGAGATGTGGTTGGAGATGAAGACCATATTCGATACCCTGTCTCTTTCCTCAGATATTCGAGCAATAGTATTATCCGGAGCAGGAGACCGTGCTTTCACCGCGGGGTTAGATGTGCAGGCTGCCAGTGAAGGAGGAATATTAAAACAACAGGATGGGGTCACCGGCGATGTAGCACGGAAGGCTGTTGCCATTAAGAGACATGTTCAGGAGTTTCAGGACTGCATCAGTAGCATTGAAAGATGCGAAAAGCGTAGGTGTCGCCTTTTCTGGTTCCTAATCCTTACCTATATCTCTGGATAATGGCAAAAGAGCCCATGCTGACGTGTTCATCTTGCAGCCGTTATCTGTGTGATGCATGGTATTGCCTTTGGTTTAGGCCTCGACATTTCGACCTGTGCCGATATCCGAATATGCACTTCCGACGTTAGGTTTGCTGTTAAGGAGGTTGATATCGGTCTTGCTGCAGATATTGGTACACTTTCTCGGCTCCCTAAAATAGTTGGATCCTTCTCTTGGGTAAAAGATGTATCACTATCGGCACGAATATTCTCGGGTGAAGAGGCCTTTCGTGTCGGATTCGTCAGTTACGTTCTCGAGAACAAGGAAGCAGCATTGGCAAAAGGTTTGGATGTAGCGAAGCTCTTGGCGGAGAAGAGTCCGGTTGCCGTTCAGGGTACAAAGGAGTTGTTGAACCATGCAAGAGACAACAAGCTCGCAGATAGTTTGCGGTATACAGGGGTGTGGAATAGTGCTGCCATCCAGACGAGTGACGTGGAAAGAGCGATGCTAAGCGGACTGAAAAAGACGAAGCCAAGATTTGAGAAGTTGTGATGTATCTGTGGAGCAGGGTGGTGCATAAGGAACCAAACGTCGTACAGCATCCCCACACTGAAAGTGATTTGTGCTTATTGTAAGGAAGCAGTCCGATAGGAGAAGCCCACAATTCGTATGAAATAAGTGATAGTACTTCAGGATATCTCAGTATCTTAAAGGATTTGCCATCGAAATTCTCAGAGTCATCTCCAAAATAATAATAAATATCTACAGCACTAAAAGCGTCCACCCTGAACCCTCAACTGACCTTGTGCAAGCCCTAAGCCTTTGTATGTAGCCAACCTCTCGCAACGTGTCTCTTTTCTCCTCACTGTTCACTGATAACGGGGGTAAAATGTGTTATCACTTTTTGATAAGCGAAGCCCCACAAACCACTTATTAAACGTTTTCATCTACAAAAATTAAGCCCAAGGTTCTCCTTTAAACATTCCAAAAGTTACAAATTCTTGGAACGAAGGTAACAACTCTCTGGAAAAGTACTTCAAAAAGTACTTCAAAAAATAAATGGTTGATGACCAAGCCCAGGCTCGATCTGAGGACCTTCTCGGGACAAGTATTAACTATGTTAACGAGATGTGATAACCAACTACACCACTCGGCCATTTCGTGATTTGATGAATCGCTGCGCTTATTTAGATATATGAAGGGTTTTTTGTCCATAGGGTTTTGGTGCGTTATGTGGGGTCAATTTATTGGTGATGTTAAGCGAGGATATATTTTTCTTTTCTCACTTTACCAAGCGGGCAGAGCAAGTTTCTTCTTTACCAGGTAAGTGGATTTGTGAGATACGTAAACTAGAGTAGACGTCATGTGTAGTTTCGAGCACTATTACTCTAATTTTATTTGATATTTACAAGTCCTTTCACAACCTGCTTGAACTAAATTAAATACCACCTTATACCTAGAGCTGTCCGTAATTAATCTCCACCAGCTCGGAGCAAAATAACGCGAAAGCGGGTCACTTTTGGGGGAAAACTTCACAACTCTTTGTAGGAGAAAGCATACCCACCTGAGAATCGGTTCTTTGACGACTCATTTCCACCGCCGCATCAATTGAGTTACGGATTGTTGAATTTAGAAGGCTAGAGTGTTCCACACCGACTTGAAACTTTACCGGGTTTGCCGGGTTCCCATGGCCCTTAGTTTAGCTACTGGGCCTCTATCAGATGTTCACTTCAATGTTCACCACCGCACTAATGCCAACTTTCAAGGCACTAAGGAGCTCTCACTCATACACATGACTCGAGCCCGAATTCTTGGGTAGATATTTGCTCTAGCGCCTCTGTCACTTGGAAATTGGCGCCAGATGAGCTGGATTCAAATGAAAATTCAACACTCCGTTGCAAAAGGATGCATAGTAACTTTTAATTAGGCATACCCTATGTTGGTTTTCAACTCCAAGCCATCTTCCTAGTATCAAGACGCATCCCCTCTCCCCTCAAGACTTCCCTGACCTTCTCTCCACCCTGCCATCTCAGCATGGTGACCGAGTGCTTTCCAAACTTAAACTTCCCCTGCCCATCCCACTTGCTCTCGATAATGCCCACTTCCTCCTTCCCTTCAGCATTGACAGCCTTGGTATTTGGTCCTGTGATGGTATAAATTTCTACCTCTTTTCCAACTCCTTTGATATCAACCTCGAAGTCCTGAGTCTCGCTGATATTTACAACAGCAAGGCTTACCCATCCTTCCTCATTCACGCAAGCACTGACATCCAGCCAGCTTGCACCTTGATCTAGTACACCCTGCAACCACTCTGGGTTTGTGACTCCATCGTAAGCACCACACCTCAGATGGATATGAATAGTCCATCCTCGCATATACTTAGTAAAAAGTAATAACGGCCACCAAGTCGTCTGCTTCACAATTCCATTCTTCGTCGTCATCAAAGGACTGATGACATTAACACTTTGAGCAATGTTGGCCATCCCAACATACTTGCTTTGTCTAATGAACACGTTAAACCATACGCCGACGGCCAATGCATCAGAAAGCGTATACAGCTCCTCCCCGCCCTCCTCTCCAGGGGCTCGGGCAGGATCCCAAACATTCCATTCATCGAAACAAATCGTCGTTCTCGGCACACTAGACGGAATCTTGGCTTCTATTCTCGCAATATCGATCATTGCAGCAGTAGTCTCGATAGCCCTCTCAGCTTGTAGTGGAGCAACTACATTTGGAATATGGTCATTTGAGTTGGTATAACAATGAATGCTATGCATATCAGTGTATTTGATACATGCTTTGAGAACTTCAAAGTCCCATGTCGAGACTCCTGCTTCCCCACATAGAATCAGGCATAAACTTGGATCGAGGAGCTTGAGAGCTTTCCCCCACTGAAGAGCTCTTTTTGAGTAATCCTCAGCTGTCATTTGGCCAACTTGCCAAGGCCCCCACATCTAACAATACTATTAGCTTAGTATTCTTATTGAAGATATTGGGGAAGGTACTTCATTTCCAAGAGCCCAGTATTTGATGTTATACGGCTCAGGATGGCCATTTTTTCTTCTCATGTTGGCGTAGTATGTATCACGGGTTCCGTTGCAGTACTCTACCCAAGCCAATGCCTCATCGAGAGTTCCAGTTCCGAAGTTCAAAGCGAAATATGGCTCGACTCGTTTCTCTCTCCCTTCGCTGAGAACACTTAACCAGTGCATAAACTCATCAGTCCCTATCATGTAAGTATCAGTAAAATCCGAACTATCAATTTTTTTTTTTAAAAAAAAATGAAGGTATAGGTACCAAATTCGTTTGTTTCGGTTGCTAACCAGGCAAGCTCAGGTCTACTAGGTCGCTTGTCTTTCGGACCAACTCCATCTAGCCAATGATATGTTGCTACGAAGTTTCCACCTGGATATCGAATTACTGGAATGTCTAGTTCTCGAAGTGCTGCCAGAACATCGGTACGATAGCCGTGTGAGTCTGAGAGTGGGCTTCCTGGCTCATAGATTCCTCCATAAATGCACCTTCCCATATGTCTGAAAGTATTTCGTAAGCAGTGACCCGGCCAAAAAATACTGTTTAAAAGGAGGAAGGTGAAAGAAAACCCATTTCAACAACTTCTGATAGTGACTCCCCACACACACCGTTAAACACGTCTCAGGTATTTATCTTTTCTAAAAGATAGAAGAGAATCAGATTAGTCCTTTCATATCCAGAAACTCTTCTAAGGACCATCCTACTCAGGAATTATTGCTAGGATAGAGATGACAGGAGCACCGTCCAAGTTCACTTGAACATCACCAATTATTGTCTTGACTTGGAACAAAATATTTCCAAAGAGTACACGCCAGAGGAATATCAATCTATACATGGTTCTCCCGTGTATAAAGTATTACTCGAAACTTTCTTCTCGTTATCGTTGTCTCACTCATAATCTGCAAAATTCATCACCCTGTACTTACTCCATAAATCCTCCATAAATATTTGGATCTGGAAGAGGTGCACGTTAGCTCTCATCACCATTTTCACGGGGAGAGGTTATATACCTATTTTAGACAATCTCCTCGATACATCAACGTCAATGGATGGGGTCTCATCCTCCGCGATTCTTGTAAAGGTCGTCATCTTTGCAATTTCCACTCAATCAACTATCAGGAGCTATCAAGAGTTATCAAACAGGATGTGAGAGATTGAGCCTGCGAATTTTGTAACAGCAGACAGCTTTATTATCTGTGAGTTGTCAGGTGGATCTTGGGCCAAGCCACCGTAAGTTGATATCCCACTTACGACCAGAAGCGGCAAAAGGTATACAGGATCCACAAACCTCTGAGGTCAGATTTTTGAGGTCTAATCTACCAAATTTTGGGTTCACCAAAGTCCCAGCAGAGGAGGTTTCAAGCAGCACATCTTTCAGGGATTCGAGCACCGCCAACGCCATCCAAGTCGGTACTCTGAACTCAATCAGCAATCCATGCTTAGCCAATCTTAATGATTGGTGCGCATATAATCACAGTGCTTGATTGTTGGCAGGTGATATGCCGACCGGCGATTTCTGAGTGGAGGAAGCGATTTTGCCGTGTGAAGCGAGTTTGAGCTCTAAAGTGTTTCCCCACCTTCTAATCGTTTCACTGGGGGACCAACCTCCAACGACCCCACAAACTCTTGTTTGAACTTACCAGCACCGAGGAACCGAAGAATGTTAACAAAAATGCCGTGAGTAGCTCCAATATGAGACCACAAGCCCAGAAATAGTGTCTGAACTTTGTGGACGGGTTTGGTCTGGCCCTCTTCTTTCTATATGCGTGCCAATGGGGAGGTCTCCAGGAAAATGGTCTGTTCTTCAGAACCTAAGATGCAAATTTGCAGGCTTGACATGTGTAGTTCATGGATGAATGGCGTCTATCGTGGTAGGCATGATGAGCTACCCCAGTATCCCCGCATGAGCTTAAAGCTACCCTGTTCAAGAGTTTTTCCATGATTATAAGTGAACGAGTGTCCCCCAGAATGCAAAGCTGCCTCAAGCTTCTCTCATTAACCAGAACCTGATCGTAATTGATAAGGTCAATACCATGGCGATTCCCCCAAAAGTGTATCAGGTAGGATACCTTAATGAAGAAGAATTGACGGTGCTAACACAATCCAACAGTTCCTGGTGGGCGTGTTCGCCTCTATGGGATCAATTCTTTTTGGATATGATCTAGGTGTAATTGCTGAAGTGTAAGGGTATAATAGTATAAAACAGCATATGATGCTAACTTCTGCAGAATTGCCTCTGAAACATTTACTTCATTCTTTCATAAACCAACCTCCACTGAAACGTAGGAGTTCTTGCCTTAGGATGTTGTAATACGGGACTTATTATTTCTAGGGGTATTGTTGTCTCCTTCTTCACTGGGGGAGCGTTTTGCGGGGCTGGTCTTGCTGGACCTGTGAGTTTGTGTCTCGTCTTACAAGGAGGTGAACTTCTCAGCTAATCCTCTATTAGATTGGTGATAAACTCGGACGAAGATGGACCATTCTCATCGGGTGTATCATATTCCTGCTAGGTGGTGCTTTGCAGACAGGTGCAATGAATCTCCATTACTTATGGGCTGGACGATGGCTCGCAGGTCTCGGGGTTGGCTTCCTAGTCATGATTATTCCCCTGTATCAAGCTGAAATCGCTCACCCCTCTATTCGCGGGACAATTACGGCACTTCAACAATTCATGCTGGGAATTGGTGCCTTTGTTGCCGGATGGGTGTCATATGGCACGTTCATCGGACTCAAGCACTCTACAGCACAATGGCGTGTCCCACTCGGTATTCAAATGGTCCCTGCTGTCTTCCTTGGAGCTTTGATCTTCTTGTTCCCTGAGAGTCCTCGTGTATGTAACCGGTAGCGGTTTTCTTGATTACTTACGCTGATGATTTCCCTGCAGTGGCTTATGGACCATGGTCGTCCAGAGGAAGGTCTCGAGACTTTAGCTCGTCTTCATTCGAACGGCAATGTCGATGATCCTTGGGTACGAGCCGAATTCGACCAGATCCAGGACAGCCTCACCTACGAGCACGAGCATGAATCAAAATCATACATCGAATTATTCACAAATCGGTCATGCTTTCGGCGACTCTTTCTTGCTTGTGCCTTACAGGCCTCGATTCAAATGACTGGTGTGTC